ATCAATTAGGGTTTCGACGTGTCTTGTTTTAACGACTACGTCGTCCATGTATGCCTCCACTGTTTTGCCGATTTTCTTTTCCAGGCATATTTGAATCATGCGTTGATAGGTTGCTCCGGCGTTCTTGAGCCTGAAAGGCATAGTGTTGAAGAGAAAGGGCCGTATGGCGTTATGAAAGCTGTTGCAGCTTGGTCGGACTCTGCCATCTTTATTTGATGATATCTAGAGTATGCGTCGAGGAAACACAGCGAGTCGTGTCCAGTTGTGGCATCGATGATTTGAACGATGCGAGGGAGGGGAAAGGGATCCTTGGGGCAAGCCTTGTTAAGGTCTTTGAAGTCGACGCACAGGCGCCAGGATTTTCCCTTCTTTGGTACCATTACCAGGTTCGCCAGCCAATCCGGATGTTTGATATCTCTGATGAATCCGACCTTAAGTAACTTGGCTAGCTCCTCCCCCATGGCTTGTCGTTTGGGCTCCGAAAATCTCCTTAGGGTCTGTTTAACAGGTTTGTATCCCTTTAGTATGTTAAGGTTGTGTTCGCCAATCCATGTGGGATGCCCGGCATGTCCGATGGATGCCAGGCGAAGATATCTCAATTCTCGCGTAAGAAGTCACGCAGTGCGGCGTCCATAGCGGGGTTCAACTGTGTCCCGATGGAAGCTGTCTTCATGGGGTCCGTTGGGTGGACTTGGAATTTGACTATCTCATCTGCGGGTTTGAATGAGGTGGACTTGGGTCGCTTGTCGAGTATCACGTTGTCCCTATCCATGGTGACGTGTAGCGTGGTTAATTCTTCTGCCGCTAGGGCTTCGGATAATGCTTCCAAGGCCAGCATTGCGGTTTTGTTTTCAGCGCAGAGTGCGACGTCCGGGTCACTAGCTAGAGTGATGATTCCATTGGGTCCGGGCATTTTAAGCTTCATGTACCCGTAATGGGGTATGGCTTGAAAGCTCGCAAACGCGTCTCGCCCTAGAAGGGCGTGGTATCCGCTGTTGAAAGGAGCCACTTGGAATGTGGTTTCTTCGGACCTATAATTCTCTGGTGTGCCGAATACCACGTCGAGTGTGATTTTTCCCGCACACCGAGCCTCCCGACTAGGGATAATTCCCCTGAAGGTCGTGCCACTTTGTTCAATGCGGCTTTTGTCAATACCCATCTTTTTGAGGGTTTCTTCATAGATTAGGTTTAATCCGCTTCCGTCCTCCATGAGTACTTTAGTGAGCCGAAAGCGATCCACTATTGGGCTGAGGACCAGAGCAGCCGGCGCCTGGACGGACTGGAATTGGGGTTCGTCATTGGCATTGAAGGTTATAGCAGTGTCGTTCCACGGATTTAATTTTGCCACATGACAAATTTTAACGGAGCTTCGATGCGCTTGCTTGCGCCTATTGTTTGAGGCGAAGGTCTCGAAGACTTTCAGCACCGTATTGTGTTCTTTGGCGGGATGTGGTTCTGCTTTATGGCTCTCAAGGAGATCCTCGCCACTCTTAGCTACCTGCCGGAGTATCCAACATGCTCTAAGGCTATGGGTCAGCATAGCGTCCGGCGTGCCGTGAAGCTTACACGGCCCGTTGAGCCATCCTTCCAATACGATTCCACGCCCTGGGGCGGGCTTTGGTTTCTTGGGAATTGAGTTCGTCGACTTACGAGAGTTCGGCCGTTTAGTTCAGACAAAGGTTTCGGTGAGGGCCGTGCTATCCCAAAATTTTGTCTGGGTTTTCCAGGCGCTTTCCATCGCACAGTACTTTTGTACAATGGTTTCCAAGTCTGTAAGACGCTCTATGTCACGGCGACTTATAGCATTAAGGAGTCCTTTGTTCGTGCAGTTTCTGCAGAAAAGAGAGACTACGTCCTCCTCGTGGCAGTCCTTGACCTTATTAAGAGCAAGGAGAAATCTGGCCCAGTAACGATGTACCGTCTCCTGGGGCTCCTGCCGGACACGGGAGAGACGGATTAAGTCCGAGCGAGCGTCATTGGCTGAAGCCGGATTTTGATCCGATCTGACAGCCGGGGGCACGGGAAGTACCGAGCCTGTCAGTTCGGGATCTAGAGTATTACCTGATCCCTTTGGCCCAGCGCCCGATTCTAAGTCCGGGACCGGGGTCATGTAGACCTTTGGGGGGGTGTTCGGCTCACTGAATTCGGTGATCCAAACATAATTCGTCCTCAAAGTTGAGGGGCGACCCACGTGTGATTCCTCCACTACCGCTATCTCATGGGTGGCCGGCGGGGATCTAATGTCCGTCTGGTCGGGTTTAAGCCCAATCCGGTCATAGTCCGTAGCGACTCCCAAGGCGGCGATGCGATCCAAGAGCTCGTTAAGAGAGGAGAGCTCCATCGGACCCATCTGTTCGGAAAGCTCCAAACCAATGCAAAGGTTATGCGTGATGACCCGAGAGGCCATCGTCGGCAGGACAGCCGATGGGGCAGTCATAATGAAGCCGCCAAGCCGGAGAGTCTGGCCTACAGCCAGGGCTCCCCCAGAAGTGATATCGTCCTTGACAACGAGACGAGCCATCAAGCCCTTGCAGCGGCGACACAGAGGAGCTCTCAATGAAAGCACCAATGTTGGTGTCAAAACCGGCGGATCTCGGGTAGGGGATCCCGATCTGTGGGTTTTAGGCTGATGGTAACAGGAAGCGAGGGACACAACATTTACCCAGGTTCGGGCCCTCTCGATGGAGGTAGAACCTTACTTCCTGCTTGATTAATATTGAAGATATGTGGAATACAAGAGTAGATCTACCACGAGATCGTAGAGGCTAAACCCTATGAGCTAGCCTATGATGGTATGATTGTAATTGTGATCGGCCTTCTAAGGACCATCCTCTTCGGTTTATATAGACACCAGAGAGTTAGGGTTTACATGGAGTCGGTTAGAAGGAAGGAAATATAATATTCGAATCGCCAAGCTTGTCTTCCATGCAAAGGAGAGTCTCATCCGGACACGAGCCGAAGTCTTGAGTCTTGTATCTTGACGCTTCTATAGTCCAGACGATGTATATAGTACGGCTGTCCGGATACCCCCTTATGCAGGCCCTCACACACGCTGCGGAGTCGGCTCCGAACTGCAGTGTTTTGGCCGGTGTTGGCTGGCTGAACCGGCGATCTGTAGACACCGAGCAGCGCATGGATGCGGACCGGCCTGATGACGGTGGAGAGGCACTAGAAGTGGCCAGGGTATGTGCTGGTGCAGAGAGGGCAGTTTGACCAGAGGTGCTGGTGCGAGGGTAGACGCGACCGGGGAGCAGCAACAATGGTCGATGTCAGCAAATGAGCATGCAAAGTGCATATCAATTCAGGTGGGCCTCGACTAATTTTCCTCCTCCTGCTCAACTGATCGCAGACACAAGACATTACCCTGATATAGAAAATTACGAAGTTGTCCTCAAATCAAACTCTGAATTGACCCACATTAACCACCGGATCAACTTAATACTATATCTTATACTCCCTTCGTCCCAAAATAAGTGTCTCAACCTTAATACAAATTGGGACGGAGGGAGTATTATGTAGTTTAATGTACCTAAAAACTTTATATTTCCATATGGTTTGTTAGACGTTAAGTCATACGCAGATCCGTTTCACAAGTCACAAAGTATTCCAGTAATATTAAACCTTACAATGTCAAATAAATATACCACAACAAATAGATGATCAAAATTAGAGATTGAATGATGTGTCATCTTTTCAGATATCAACCTTTCAAGAACCGTAGATATCAACCTTTCAAGAACCGTATCTAGAGGATCACCAACCATCTATTAATACAAGGGCAGTGCTTAAAAGCTCGTTGCATACATGCCTCCTATCGTTTGCAGTCTCTTATATATATCCCCTTAGCAATCTTGGCCCTCTCTACCAGGCCAGTAGCAAGCAAACCAACTCAACTGATATTACGATTTGGGGGCAAAGAGATACCAATATCAAATAAGCACGTGGCACTAGTTATACATATCAATTTGGAGTTACACACGCGTAGTTTGTTGTGAATGGGAGGCATTCGGAAGATTAGTTGCACCACTATGTTGTGATCTAGCATGTAGAGGAGCCTGGCACTCCAGCCAGCTGATTGTTGATGAAGTGACATAAAACTTAACAGTGACTCAAGAGGGCTACGTTCTTCCAGAAGTCTACTAGCCTGTATCTTTGTTTTTCCTGTAGTATGCCATATACCTTTGATGCCAATTCTGGTACGTTTGCTATTTATTGGACTCAAGAGGGCTACTGGTAAGGTGCAGGGGCTGAAAATACTAACCAAGTATCTCGCTAGCTCCAGTCTGGTTATGATGTACAAGACTTTCATATTTGCAAATTGCAATCACGCCAGCCCGTGGTAGACACACGTGGATTAGTTCCAAAATCCAAATTAGAATGCTGGAAGTCTTCTTCTATCAATCATAAATATCCAAATAAACTAGTATAAAATTTGCAAGGTTTCAACATTACTTAAGTAAACTTAAACTTATGGCGACCCTAGCTTTCCACAAAAAGCACAGTTTTCACTTATCCTGTTTTCTGTGTTATTATTTTCTTCAGACAAAGGTGCATTAATATGAGAGCAAATAAAAAAAATTATAGGTGTTCATATTTTTTCTGTAAACTTGGTCAAAGTTTAGAGTTTGACATAAGACAAAGCTACAGTAATATGCGGAGAAAATAAAAACAGAGGGAGTAGTAAGGAAGAATCATCAAGAAAAAGGAACACTACAGTTTACAAACAAAGCAGCTGAATCGCTACAATGTCCTATCAACAACTTTGTAGCGCATGAAACAACCAGCTGCACATGCCAAGATCAAAACTTGCTGCTTCTGTAGTGCAGGACAGCAAAATGTGTTCTGATTTCAGACCATTGCCAATGAGCAAGCTCTCTTCTGGTTTTAGAACCGTGTGTTAGCCTGGAACATTGAAGCAATTTGAGCGCGAAGCCACAATTTGTGCAGTTTATCATACACACATTGTGGAGTTAGCAAACTTCGAAGTGCGTAGTTGGCGGTTAACGCAAATTTCGGATCTCCCGTGCAACCACAATGCATGAACTGATGGGACAGTTGGTCTTGACTGCGTTGGCACCTATATGAGATCTACAAGCAGCATAACCTTCCTGTTCACATTCAGAGTATGATAACATTTTCAGAGTCAATGTTCATCTACTTTATAAAATGAAATGGCAACAGAATGTCCCCGAACTGCATACAGGTTATTAAGGAAAGCACAAGTATGTCATATAAGAACCTAAATGAAGCACCCTGGTCATTCCTTAGGATTTAGCAAATTAATCATACTTGACATAACAAAAAGGCAAAAGTTGCATACCTTCTGCAACGAATGGATGAGAGTACCAAGCGGTGGAGAGTTAACTTTTGCTCGGCTGGCAATCTGACATTGCATAACAAATTTAGCTTGACTTTACTCAACAATTGTACATCACAGACATCTTAATAAGTACATATTCCAACTGCAAGACATACCTCATCAAGTCTTATATATCCAGGCGGTAACCTTGGGTCACTCTCCTCAATCATTGTGCCAAGAAGTTTTTCCAAAGTGACACCATTCTCACTTGTGTGTGCCCATCCCCATTCTACAGCCAAGTTTAGCATTTCTGTAATGGAAGAGCGATCATGGAGAGGACCTGTCCAAAGTGGGCCTACAACTGTGATTGAAGTGGCATCCTGTAAAATAAAATGGTAATTATATACTACCATAACATCAGTCAAGTATTTAGTCCTAAACATGGGTTAATAAGATCTTTTGTGGTACAGTAATCAGCTTATGTAGAAATAACGATTAACTGATTAGTAAAACAGGATATTGATCAGCTTCAAATAATATAATTTCTCTATGCAAAAAAAAAAAGGAAAAGGAGTAAAACACTAAAGGAAAAGTAATTTCCAAGTCCTAAAATCAGTTCAGTAAAACACATGACACGACTAGAATTGTTACACAGTCTGACTATGAAAATTTTGTCGCTAGGTATTTACTACTGCCGCATGATTCAATGTACCTACTGTTCTATCTGCACATCCACAAGAAATCTGCCCCAATTCGTCAAATCCAAAAGTCTGAGACTGGCCGCAACTCTTGCAATGACAAATGAAACCATAATTGCTGCCAAAAATAGAAGGGACATCAGTAACTTAACATTCCATTATACATACTAATTGGCTGTAGGATATTTAGAAATAAAATAGCAGTGAGCTAACCTGATGCCATCTTCTTTTCCATGGCATAATCGTACCATTGCTCGAAAAATTGGACCGTGGTACGCGTAATAAGAGAATACTGGTTCTATGTGAAATCCAAGCATAGCTGCTTCGCGGGCAGCCCCACCTAAAAGCATTCGCAAACCAATCTCATTCGGATATGGCACTGGAAGAACGTATGCTCCATATGAAGACAGTGAGCTAAGAGAAACAAACTGTTATGTGGCTGGCGTTTACAAACAGACTTGATTGAGCCTTTCAAAAGGGAAACATATGTGAGAGTATACAGTTGCCTCAAAAGAAAATGCTGAATTTATTTGCCTAATTATAAAAAAGAGAGTATAGAACGCAAAATCAGCCCAATATACAGAACAAAGCAAGTAACTATACTTTCCACAGTCTGGCACAACAGTAATATACACAACTGAGAGTTACTAAATATGTAAGCAATCTTTTTGACTTATGTTCATCATTGGACAATCTTATATTACAGAAAAAACAGCAATTCTAAGATCCTAGTTTCTGATTCGCCACTCTGAGTATACATTGTACGCCACGTGGTATAATCAGAGAGTATACATTGTACTCCAGATGTGTTTAGGATATATGACAACAGTACATTGAGACTACAACTGAGCAAGCTTGTACAGCCTAATCTGATTTTAATAATTTCAGACTTTTAACTGGATACCAACTGCTACTAGTAATAAGAACGGTAAGAGCTCACCATTTTCCGCCATAACCTCTGGCCGACCGCCAATCGGTGGAGGTGAGGTAGAGAAGGCCCCCAATCTTGAGCGCCAAGAAGGCCGCCCGGATGTACTCGGCCTCGCTGCCGAACGAGTCGACGTCGATGACGTCGAAGTACTCGCGGCGGAGGTACCTCTCGGCGAGCAGCCGGGTGGCGTCGAGGTGCGACACCACCCACCGCCTCTGCCCGTCGGGAGGCACGGGCTCGAAGCGAGAGAGGTTGCCGACGATGACGGGGTGGAGCGCGTCGGAGGCGTCGTTGGCCCAGACGAAGTCGGCGCCAGCCTGCGCGAGATAGCGGAGCGCGCGGACGCCGGATCCGCACATCGCGTCGAGGCACAGGAAAGGGGCGGAGGGGTCGGGGCGGCGCCGGCGGTGGAGGGTGGCGGCGAGCACGGCGAGGTCGCGGCCCGGGGCGCTGTCGCTGCGGTAGAAGGCGGCGCCGGGGTCGAAGGAGACGCCGCGCTCGGAATGCGTGCAGCGGGGCGGTGGCGGGGCGCGCCGGCCGGGCTGGAAGGAGACGGCAGGGGCGGCGGCGGAGGCGGACGCCATGGTGGCGACAGGGGAAATGCTCTTGTGCTTTGGATTAGGTTCGGGCCCACTGCACAGCTGCACGTACTAGTTTGTTTTTAGAAAAAGAGGAAAAGTACAGTTTTCACCTCAAATTCATCTTTTTTTGTATTTTTGAATGAACTGGCCCCCAAATCTTCTTTAGGCCTTGTTTGACAGCAAGGGATTGTGGAGGTTTTGGGCGGAGGGGATTTCAGGGGATTTGGTGAATCCCCTCCTTCCACCCAATCCCCTCAGTTCCCCTCACTTCCCCAAGTCTCCAATCCCCTTCCATTAAACTCATTTGGTAGACAGGGTTTGTCATATTAAACTGAGATGGTGCAAAATAGAATAGTACTGTTAAAAATCCAATCTTTGAAACTTTAACAACTTGTATAGAAAAAAATGCTATAGAATTTCACCGGTAGTTGCTACCAGATCATGCAAAGTATCCAAATAATCTCATACAATCAGCTACAAGTTCACGGTTCACATAAAGAAAAAAAACACTCCATGGACCAGATATCAGGGGGTTAGTTAGCGATTCGTTATCACAAAGCCGACAACAGGCTAAGCAAGGGTGTGATATTCTTTGTGACGGTCCTCTGAGTCAAGATAGAGAGAGAACAAGAGCGCGTAGACCAGGTAGATGATGCCAAAGTCTAGCCGTTGATGATGAGCAGCAAGCAGATGCAAAACTCCACCCGTTCAAGACCAAACTAACAAAGATGATTCAAACTCTTCACATGCAACTTCAAACATAAAGTGAAGAAACTACAAACATTATATGTTGACAAATAATTCTGAATGTTGACAAATAACTTGAGCACATCAACCATGTATAGATGTGTGTATGAGTATATGAAAGACAGACTGGAAGATAATACCCTAGCAATTTTTTTATAACGAATCATCACAATCTGTAGGTGACACAGAAAAAATATGACGTCTCCCTCGAATGGGCTCATTTTTCATTGTTGTACATTACTGTTGGGCTGAGGAACTGCTGAAAACAAATTGTAGTGCCTCTCAAGTTTGTTGTCATTGCACTAGAAAACAACATTTACATTACTTTCTAAAAAGCACTAGCATGGATCGATGACATAACACTAACGTCATCGAAACGATAAACAGAAAAAGAACATTTTCTCATTGGTAGCAAACAAACAACAACATACACACATGTACATTAAAGCAATAAACAGAAAAGAAACCAAAGCGGTAAGAACTGTGTGCCGCTCAGGTGTGATGTTGGGTCATATCCCAGAACCAAAGCGGTAAATACTAGATAGAACAACACTGATTGTCTATCTAGGAAAAATAAAATATCCCAACCATTTGAGCTGCATTTCCAGAGCTAAGAAGAAACAACTATGTAAGCTGCAGTTTGAGAGCTAAAGAAAAAAAATGCGGTTCGTACTGAAGAAAAAGAAAAAGTGCTCAGCTACAACACCGACTGTCATCTAAAAGAGATATAGATCCCAACTATGTGAGGTACAATTTTCAGATCTAAGAACAGAAATATGTAATGGTGATCCGACTACTCACCACAGAAATCACATATAACATCCATAAAAAAATCATGACCAAATTATACTGAAAATCAGCGAGGCATCCATCCAAATATATTATACAAATTACATTGTAATCAGGGTAGTAATTCTAATACAATTCTCAGGAGGGAACTTAAATGTACTATGCTATCTGTAGTAAATCAAACCTGGCAATGCAGATAATCAAATTAACAACAACAAACAGTTTCAACTTTATAGATTAAATGAATAAATGACAGGTTGCCACTTTATAGATTACATGATTTAAAGGTAAATGTCAATTACAAGCCCAGAGATATTAATTAGGCTAAGATATTACACTGTTGTGATTGTTAGAGAAGAATAGCGAGCAGAAAATTTTAATGCATACAAATTGTTTGCACTAGCACTCTGTATCCTCTATGATCATGAAAAAAATTGTATTGTGTAAGAACACTCTTCCACAGAAAAGTGCAGTGGCTGAACCTTGCAGTTACCTCACTACACAAAAGTGCAACTAAGATTCATTTCACGGGCTTTCAGAGAGTACTACCCCTCGAGCAATGATCCCAGTACCATCCTGGAGTGTGTATAGGTGAAAGCAAACCCTGGAGGGTGAGTGTCCATACAATTCACTGCATGTTGATAAAAAACAACTAAGTAGCCACCTAAATTACAACCAATATTTGAAGGCTACTTGAGCTACAATTAGAAGAGACAGGCAGACAAACAAACTCCACGATAGAGCCAACTAGGAGAAGAGAAGGATGGCCATGGAGGCACCCAGCCTCATCGATGGACGCAGCGAACTGCTGCAAAACGGAGCAATGGCCACTGGGTGTGGGACGAGGAGCAAGAAGAGTCGGCCCTAGGGTTTGCAGGGGAGGAGATGGAGAAGTGGAGAAGAGGGTAGGAATCACCTCGAACCGGCGGAGGAGGACGTCGATGTTCTCGCGGCGGTGGGGCGTTGAAGATCTGGCGGCGAGGTTCCTCCTCTCGGTGGCGGCGGGGCTCCTCCCCTCGGTGGTGGCGGTGGCCTCTTCCCCTCGGTGGCGGCGGCGGGGCTCCTCCTCTCCTTGTGGAGGCGGGGCGTTGATCCGGCGGCAGGGCTCCTCCTCTCGGTGGCGTGGAGGAGGTTGGCGGCATGCGCTGGGATGCGCGTTTCCCTCAGTCCTTCGACAAGGGTTCTGAGTCGCGTGGATTGGGGAGGATCGAAGGGGATTGGAGAGGATCGGCCCATGCAAACCCCCTGTACCAAATGGGCTGACGGGGTTTTGGGGGGCTTCTGGCCCACGCGAGGAAAATCCTCTGGAAACCCCTTCAATCCACTCGCGTCAAACGAAGCCTTAAGTTTTTGCTTCACGGTGACTGAAGTGTGGGCCTCCCAAGGGTCCAGCCTTTGCAAGCGTTTTTTGGATTTGATTAACGAATTATTTGCTTGTGTAGTGCATAGACCGGGAGCGCTCTTCTGGGCTGGCCCATGTACGGGCATGTACAATGGGGGCAGCGGTATGGTGATGCCCCCAAGATCCACATAGGAGCAAGTAGATTAAGCATCATATTTAAAAAAAAGTAGATTAAACATCACCTTCATTCACCTTGTGGTCCCTCCAATATTCTCTCTCTCGTCATCTTCTTTTCCCTCTAAATCCATGGCTGCACATGTTTGTTGTGGTCCTCTGCTACCCTTTGCATATGATTTTGCCTCTTTCCTCTTCTTTTCTTCTTCTTTTTGGTTGAAGCACCAGCCTCCTCTGCAAGAGACGTTTGGCTCTGCAGGTAACACTCTTTTCTCTCTGTCCCCTTTCCATCCAACGTGGACTGCAGGGCAGCACTCCAGCATGGAGCGTTGGCCATGCCCTAACAATCACGGGTGTGGTCTCCCGCTCGTGGAAAAATTAACCATTCGCTCTGAAGAATATCGGCCGAGGAAATATCCACTGCTCTTGGTTATGGAAAACAGATTATCTAATTTTGTTTTCAAACAATGTATTATGTAAGAAAAAAAATCAAACTTTGAAAAATGTTCATGAAATTTTAAAAAGTGTTCAAAAAATGTGAAAGATGACCGAATTTATAAAACATCCATGGATTTCTAAAATGGTTACAATTTCTAATGCTCACTAATAATCATCACAAATAACTACTAGTATTCAAAATTCTTGCTTAGATCTGACTGGATTTGCATGCTATAATATATTCCTTTTTCCGAATGATGATATAATATATTCCTTTTTCCGAATGATGATATAATATATTTTAACTATGCAACTTATAAAAATAACCTAATCACTTTACCTTCCTTGAATCCTTTTGCTTTAGTTTATACTTTTTTATACTATTGATTTCTTTTTATCCATAACGGATTTACATGGACCAATACCTGAGATTAGACGATGAACATGAGTACCAACACGCTCCCCTAAAATAACCCAGTACCAACATGCGCACCTTATGTAAACGCCCACTGAGTTCACATATGACCAGACCTATGCATATAGGACCCGCCACCCACATCTAACCACACAACAGTATGGTGTTCATGTTTGACCATGCCAGTGAAAAAAAAAACTAAAAAAAGTAGGACACGAAAATGGCATATGGACTACGTGTCTATAGCCGACTGCGGTGAAGCACGCTGTCCCCTCTAGGTGACTTGATGGATCCATCTCATCTTCTGTGCCAATGACGCCTACGACATGCATGACGGGATGACCGGATGGAGCGCGTCAGAGTCATGCTATTTTAAGACTCTTGGATGGCTTTTTTACAATATGTCCATGACCGTTGTATTTAAGATCCAACGCTCGGGAGCCTATATCACGGTATCATCTAAGATCTGGTAGCACCTAATATTTTCGCCTGCCATACAATCCAACCGATGATATCCATTGTTCTATCACATTAGA